CACTCACACTATATGCAAGCGACACATCTGGCTTCTTAAATGACATGATTCAATGTGTGAAACCCTGGTTCACAGTAAAGGGCAATCACAAAGGTCTTAAAATGCACTTGTTCACTCACTGCCTTTGAACTCTGAGCAGAATACATGACATGGGGTGGGGGAGGGGAACAAAATTGGGTGAAGGAATGAATGAACAAGTAAATGAATGAAATAACAGTTTGTAGGACTGTCGTATGGCAACACAGAAGTAGACATTCACTTCAGAAGTCCTTCGATCTTTTTGGAACTGAATGTGAGGAAGTGAAATGATGCAGAAAAATATTATGTAGAGAATAAGCACTTCAGGCTACTTTCGGTAGCCTGACAGTTTTTTGGAATGCCATCAAAGTGCAGCAGACAGATCAAGCTGACATTCAAAAATTAGAGAAGTGACAGCTCCCACTATGGGAAAAATAACCAGGGAGGTGCAGAGGCAAGCTGTGCATACTCGAGCCTGCCCAAAGGAAAATCAAGAGGCTCAGAGTCAGTTCTTACAAAGAAGAAATAAACATCAGCATTAACACCTTCAAATTTAAAGGACACAGTCTTTAAGAAAGTGGCATGCCCAGATCACCTGTGATGATTGGGGTTTACTGCAAGGTCATATCAGGTAGCAAAGGACACATTGCCTCTTTGGTCAGTGATGGGGCTTCTAGGTCCCACTACTGTTTGGACAGTTGGGGCAACAGAAGAGAAGGAGAAAAATAACTCTACATCCTTTAGGAGACAGCTTGAGCGCGTGCTTCAACCTCTCATTAGAGTCTTACGAAAAAAATATTGAGTTGGTTTGTCCCATTCAAAAGGGGCAGTTTCATATTCAGCCACCTCTAGCCTGATACGGAGGCTTGTCAATTTCTTGGCCAGCCCCATCAGCTGCAGCTGAGGAAGGTGGTTGGTCAGTAAAAACAGAAGGCACAAGATATGGCCATTTCTGCAAAATAATAATAATAATAATAATAATAATAATAATAATAATAATAAGCTACTTTCAGTAAAAGAAAGCTGTGGGCCATATCCCAGCCAAACTGCATTGGCTAATGGTAATGCTCTCCTGCTTATGGGGTTACCTTTGACTTCCCTTTCTGTTTATCTGTCCAGTCACCAAAACTTGTCAAGACTTCTTTAAAATGTCTTTCAGATTCTTCTCTTCCTGCCCTCCTGGGGCAGGCATAAACACGATGCTCCAAACCTTCTTCAAGAACTGACTCGCTGCCCATTTATAAGAATGTGGTTACCAATGGCCTCTAACTGTCAGCTTTTTCAGACTCAACCTCAGCTTTCAAGCTAAGGTCACTGCCTTCATTGGTTTGCTGTTGCCATACCTTAATCCCACAGACTGGGTAACTTATAAAGAGTAAAGGTTTGTTCAGATCATGGTTCTGGGGATAGGGAGGTCCAAGATTCGGGGGCTGCATCTGTCAGGGGCTCTTTTGCTTTTGGGGACTCTCCATGGAGTTCCAAGGTGGCACAGGACATTACAGAGCAACAGGGATGCATCAAAGAGACAGAGCCACACTGGCTTTTATTATAGTCACACTCTAGAGAGATAATCCATTAATCTATAATCTATGATATTCATGTCCTAATTACCTCTTAAAGGGCCCACCTGGGCCTTCCTTTTAATACCTTTTAACCCAAGTTTTGGTGGGAACATTCAAACCATAATAGTCACGCTGTTCTTGGAGAGATCCCCAATCAATGACTGAACAGGAGAGTTTGCAAAGGCCTAGCCTTTCCCACTCTGCCGGCCATCTCAGGGGCAAAGTTCTTGCTGACAAGCTGCAGCACCTTATGTTATTCTACTTATGAAATATGCTTCTTCTTCTTCTTTTCCTTTTTTTTTTTTTTTTTGGTACCAGGGATTGAACTCAGAGGCACTCGATCACTGAGCCACAAGCCCTATTTTACATTTTATTTAGAGAGAGGATCTCACTGAGTTGCTTAGTGCCTTACTGTTGCTGAGGCTGGTTTTGATCCTCCTGTCTCTGCCTCCCAAGCCGCTAGGATTACAGGTGTGCATCACCACGCCCGGCATGAATTCTCTATTCTTTATTTGCTGCGGGTTATAGAAAATTGTCTTTGACTTTAATAGTTCCCAATTTAATAAACAAGATCCTATTTTATGCAGACCTTAATTAAAGGTATGCAGTATAAACAAAAGTGACAAAAGTGTTTGAAATACTATCTCAATAATTCATCAATACTAAATCTCTGTATATTCTCTCAATATATGGAACTTTCAAAGCATACCTAAAAATTAGAATTGAGCTAAACACATATGCACACAACTCTGAAGTAGAAGAGCTCTAGTTCCTGAAATCCTCTCTCCCTGCTACAGGTTTAGAATGATTAGAATTCTTTGACTTTAAGGTTATGAAGTAAGAATCATCTATTTCCGTGAGCTTTTGCCCAGGTAGAAGCTAGTTTTAAAATGGAAACAGGGAACCATTAAGAGGTCGCGTTGCAAGAAATCTTAATTTTTGAAACAGTAATCAAAAGTTTAAGCCAGACATGGTAGTCAACACCTGTAATCTCAGCTACTTGGGAGGCTGAGGCAGGAGAATTTCAATTTCTAGGCCAGCTTGGGTAATACACTGAGACTCTGTCTCAAAATGAAATTTAGAAAGGGCTGGGAATGTAACTCAGTAGGAGAGCACTTGCTTAGCATGTATGAAGCCCTGTTCAACTCCCAGTACCACCAAAAGAAAAACAACAAAAAACTTTAGTTTGAAAATTAAAATTTTAAAGGGTTCAAAGGTTTAAAAAATAAAGAAGAAATAAGAAAAGGTTTCAAGAATAAAATTCGGACTTGTTCATTGCTTTTCACTATTTCAATTAAAAATCAGAGTTATATTAACAAAAACTCATGTTTTGTCTTTATCATAAACCTTAGAAACTTTAAATTTTTTAGTTGAATAGAATGGAACAGATGAAATCAGCTTCTAGATCTTAGACGCTAAGGGTAGAAAAGTTAAATTTGCTAAACAGATCACATATATTCAGGTTATATTGTTATAACTCTCATAATTTAGATGAGTCAACTAATAATATCTGCAAACACAGCTGAGGGTGGGTTTAAGGCAAGTTGAATTTTAAGATTAGATAAACGTTAAAATGCAAATAAAAATAAAAGAGAGAGGAAGGGGACAGAGGATTAAAAATACCGAGGTCAGAGTCCAGCTCTAGTTTGAATTCAAGTTTTGCCTCTTACCAGTTGAAGACTCCTGAGCAAGTTACCTCACCTTTGTATGTCTCTATTTTCTCTGAAATAAGGATAAGGAAACCTATTCCATTTTGGTTTTGTAAGATTTCACATGTAAAGCATTTGGCACACAGCCTGGTACATAGTAAGTGTCTAATTTTATATGAGAATGAAAATGATCTATAATAAAATATAAAATTAAAATAAAAATCACATCTTTTTTTTTTTTTTAACAGTGCTGGGGATGGAACTCAATGCCTCATGCTTGCTGAGCTACACTGCCAGCCCTATTTCTAATTTTTAAGTGGTTAAGTTGTAGAGCAGGAAACGTGAAATACAAGAATTACAGTTATCATTCATTGAACCTCTATCATGAGCCAAACATAGTACCAGACACTTTATCTTTTCCTAATGTTCACATTATGTCTGGTATCATTATCTCTTTTTTATAAATGAGGAAACAGAAGATCCAAAGGTCATAGAGGTTGCAAGTAACTCAATAACCCAATCTCTGCTTATTATGCTATATTGCCTATAAGAATTGTGATGAAATCAAATTAAACTGAAAATAAAATTAATGTCATATTTTAAACAGCAAAACCAATTACTGACTTCCATATCACACCTGTCAGATGTCATGGAACTTCTGTTTGGATATTCCCTAGGGTGAGGAGCTTACTCTCTCAGAGGCAGTACAGTTCAATGCTGAACAGTTTGATACTTGCAGTGTTCTCCTTTATTTAAGTGATGCGTGCTCTAATGATTGATTTGCAGCACCAAAAAAGAGGAATTGCCTTCTGTTTCAGTAGCATTTCAACAACTTTCACAGTGTGATTAATTTACATTCCTGCTTTGGCATCATGGCTCTTAGAGTACCATGTGGACCCTGGTCTTAAAGAACCCACTGGATTGAACAAAAAACAAAAATGGAAGACTCGGCCACTCTCCATTCCCCTGCGGTGTCATAGCTTTTCTGGATTTGTGACACTTACTACCATTCCATAAGACACCGAGGGGCTTTTCAAAGTTAGAGAAATGAATGATTACTTTGGAGAAGGGTTAGAAAATTATTAAGAGTAATTCATTAAAATGATAACATGGTGGCTTGAAGAAGTTAAGCCATTCATTTTGGATCAGCAACATAAATGACCAAAATATCATGTTCACTTTTACTCAGTAAAGCATGAGCAGTAAAAATATTACATTTTTTAGTTACTGTTATATACTCTCCTTTAAATAATTGAGTACTATACATAGATATTCAAATATATTCACCAAATAAACCAGGAAAGTCCCCTCTCTTCTCTCACTCAAATGAGAAATAACCTTTATTTTCTTGAAGGCCTAAGATCCTTCAAGGTTCCTTTGAAGGTCATATCCCTCAAAATATTTATTTGTTGTTTTAAAAACATAACCAAGAAAGCAAAGAAACCAATTAAAATGAAGAAAGGGAAATGACAAACACATGTGAAAAAAATACCCAACATCATTAGCCATTAGAGAGATGCATTCTAAAAACAAAAGATATCATGATACACCCACCAGAGTGGCTATAATCAAAGACACTGACAATTCTAAGGGTTGGTAAGGATGTAGAACAGGAACTCTTGAATACTGCTGGTGAGAATACAAAATGGTACCACTTTGGAAATGGCTTCTTATAAAGTTCAACCCAAAATTACTATTAAATCCCTCAGTCCCTCTCCTAGGTATTTAACCCAGAGAAATACAAGCATATGTTCACACAAAAACTAAAACGTGCAAGTTTACAGCATCTTTATTCACACTAGTCAAAAACTAGAAATAACCAAATGTCCAACAACAGGTGAGTAAATAAACACATTCTGGTATATTCATATAAGGGAATATTACTCTGTAATTAAAAGGAATAGACTAAATAGAGCCACACATTTTAACGAATGTGAAAATGTAATTCAATGAAGGATGAATTACTTTTAACAAATGACACTGGGACATTAAGACATCCACAATTGAAAGAGAAAAAAAAATCAGAAATAAAGAAAGGGGGATGGAGAGGGGAGGGAGATTTTGGAGTGGTGGGAATGTTTTATTGCATATTGTGATTCTGGAGAGAGTAATATGATTATGTAACATAAGCAAGTTTTAATCAAAACTCACCATACCGTTCATCTAAAGTTAGTGAATTTTAGTATATGTAAATTATATTTTAATATATTAGAAAAAATTCAAAAGTGCCCCAATACATAAATCAAAGAAAAAATTCTTAATCTTTCTATACCATTTATTAAATAACTTATACATTTTTATAAAATACAAAACAAAATAAAATAATTTTGTCAAATTAGGAAAAGAGACATTGGAATTACTGTACATAGTGGACATGAATATGACAAAATATGGTGATGGATTATTTTAACATTTATCCATTTAGCCAGGAAAAATGTAGTATAATCTACTAAAAGAGACTCATGCTATACCAGAGCACTCAGAAAATGCTCTAGAGCCATAGAATCCACAACAAGTATGTAAAGTATGTAACAATTTTAGGGTTATTTAGGTCACTATTGGTTAGGATTAGGTTTAACTGCATATACAGAAATTCCAAATAAGCAGGAGCTTAATTACATAAAATTCTACTCAGCAACAACAATGACAATGCAGAGGTTCACAGGTCAGGGCTGGTCTGGCAGTCCTAAGTTGTGAGAGCCCAGCTGCCTTCAGCTTCAAGGTTCTGCTTTCCTTTGCATTCTGCCTCACACAGGTTGGCTTGCTAGGCTCTTGACTGTGTCCACATTCTGGAAGGGGAAGAGACAAAGCACAGTATAAACCTTCCCATTAAGGACAATCTCCAGAGGTCTCACATGAAATATCTCCTTACATCTCTTTGGGCATTTCTTATTTACATGGCACACTTAATTGGATGGAAGGCTAAGAAATGAGGTCTTTAACGCTTCTTAAAAGAAGAAATACAAATGGCCAACAAATATATGAAAAAATATTTAACCTCATGAGCAATTAGGGAACTGAACATCAAAACTACATTGAGATTCCATCTCACACCAGTCAAATTGGCAATTATCAAGAATACAAACAATAATAAATGCCGGAGGATGTGAAAAAAGGGAACACTTATATACCATTGGTGGGATTGTAAATTAGCACAACCACTATGGAAATCAGTATGAGGTTTCTCAAAAGACTAGGCATAGAACCACCAAATGACCCAGCTATACCACTTCTCAGTATTTACCCTGAACAATGAAAGTCATCATACTACGATGATACATGCATACCAATGTTTATAGCAGCACAATTCACAATAGCCAAACTATGGTACCAGCCTAGGTGTCTATCTACAGACCTAGGATAAAGAAAATGTGGTTTGTATACACAATGGAGTTTTATTCAGCCATAAAGAAAAATGAAATATGTCATTTGCAAGAAAATGGATGGAACTAGAGACCATTATGTTAAGCAAAATAAGTCAAACTCAGAAGGTCAAGGGTCATATATTTTCTCTCAAGTGGGGAAACTAGAGAGGAAACAGGAAAAGAAAGGTAAGGGTAAATCTCATGAAAATCAAAAGAAGATGAGTAAAGGAAAGGGACAAAGGGGTAGGAGGGAGGCGGGTAATGTTGGGAAGTGATATTGACCAAATAATATTGTCAAACTCTGTGCATGTACAAATACGTAACAACAAATTCCATCATTATGTACAATTACAACACACCAGTAAAAATGTATAATAAAATAAGAAATGCACCTGTTCATAAAAAGAAAGGAAGGAAAGGAAGGAAGGAAAGAAATATAGTCTTTATTTCAGGGAGCCACATACCCAGGTGAGTATCAGAAACTCCATTAGTAATGAGAAGAAAGGGACAGTATTCCCAATAACCAAGATAAGGAACCAAGATAAGTAGTGTTGATGGATAAATGAATTGAGAAATGGGGTATATATATATATATATATATATATATATATATATATATATATTGTGTGTATATACATAATAGAGTATTATTCCTCCATAAAGAAGAATGAGATTCTGCCATTTGTAGGAAAATGGAAGGAACCAGAAGACATGATGATAAATAAAATCAACTAGATACAGAAAGACAAGTACTGTACATGTTCTCCCACATATGAAAAATTAAATTACCTGAAAATGAAAGAGGGATAGGTGTTGGAAGAGAGGAGAGGGGGAAGGGATAAGGAAGAATTAAGAGTGGACACAATCTACACGTGGTATGCATGTAGGGAATATCACAGTGGATCCCAATAATTTTTGCAACTAACATATGATCATAATTATAGTTAAAAATTGAGGGAAAAATTTCTTTAAAAGGAAGAAAGTATACAGGACAAACTTTGCAGATCCATGCACAGGCCATCCTTAGATTTGCTTCTTCAAATGTTCTCAAGCCTCTAATTCTTGATAAGTCTGAACAAGAATTATGAGTTTCCTAAAAAAAAAATCTAAACATCCAACATGCAGGGAAAGTAGATCAGTTGTAAAGCACTTGTCTAGCATGTGTGAGGTACTGGGTTCAATTCCTAGCACTGGGGGAAAAAAAAGTAAAAATGCTAAAACATCCAACACTTATGAATTGACTTGCATTTATTCACACTTAATTTTTGTAAGAAATTGTACTAAGTGCAAAATTATTGAGGGAAAGAAACACGTGGAGGGAGAAAAACCTCATTATTAATAACAATTTAAAAATTTATGTACTCTCTTTGGTAGTATATATGCCAAAAAAAAAAAACTTACTACTAATCTGTGATATTTAAAATATACCTTTCTTGAAATTTTCTATAAATTTGATCAATGCAGCAAGGGATTAAAATTTGTCTTTTAAAAATAGTAGGTTTTGTTTTTCTATTTAATCCCATATGTTTATCTATATAATCTTTTTCTGTATTTTCATAAATACAGTTAAAGACGATGTTTAAATTTTAATAGTCTCTTTTAATTGATTTCTTGAGTCTGTTCCCTGAATTAAGTAAATGTTTCAAAAAACACAATGTCCCGTTTATTGTTAGTATTTAAACATAACTGGATTATTCAAGTCTTATTTCTCTTCCCCATTTTTACTCCCTATCTCATTTTTATTGTTACCAAATCTAGACCAGGGTCCTTTGCAAAAAACCAAATATAATAAAATGTATTCATTTTTTTCCTAATAAAAAATACTCCCCTCTATTTCCAAGTTTAAATACTTCATTTATTCATATTATTATCCATATATAGAGGTATTAGTAGTCACCAAAATGTTTTCCTCTTTTAAAAGCCACTTACTTTGTTTCATAATTCTTCCATCAACCAGTCTTTTCCAGTTATCTATGAAGAGGTGGCCAGTATATTTTTTCCTTCCCAAAATGTGATTATATTGTGGTCCAAAAGTGTCTTTTTGGTTTTCATCTTTCCAATCTTGGCACCTGATATATCTGTTATTTAAACAGCTATTCCAGCTGGGCACAGTGGTGTACACTGTAATTCCAAGGACAGGAGGCTCCAGGCAGGAGGATCACAAGTTTGAAGACAGCCTGAGAAACTTAGTGAGACCCTGTCTCAAAATAGAAAATAAAAAGGGCTGGAGATCTAGCTCAGTTGTAGAGTACCCCTGGGTTCAATCTATAAAATAAAATAACTAAAATAGCTATTTCATAAATATTTTTTAAAGAATAAATGTGACCTTTCCAGGACCCATATCCATTGAAGTTGTTCTGCTTTTTCTTTTCTTTCTTTTTTCTTCTTCTTCTTTTCCCCCTTAGTATCAGATATTGAACCCAGACCTCCTGCATGCTAGGCCAGCACTGTAGCACTGAGCACTGAGCCTGGCTTTGTTCTGTTTTTCTAAAAATGAGGACAATCATCCTTGGGGGTAACAACCATTTTACTGACATTCCAGAATCACCTGGTCCTGATACTATTTACTTACCCTTCCAGAAAAGACCCTGGGACGTTTGACAAAGAACTGTAGAATGTCATAATCAAAGCCTCATGGTGAAATATGCTGTGCACTCCTGTTTCTGTACATCAAGTCTTGGCACTTTCTCTGGATTTGGTAGTCTGTTTCTTCTCAGGTCAAGTTCAATGGCCACTTCTCTTCCCAGTCCTCTTATACTCAGCTTCCTCTAATAAAACAATCAAGCCTTTTTGTCAGTAGCCAAGGGTTAATTTTCCTTTCCAAAGCTTGACCTTGGTAATGTTTTCTGTCCCTAACCTCTATAGAGGCTGCCTACCTGAGACATTAACTTATTTATGCCATCTGCATGCATAAGCTAGCTGTGTTAGGAAAGTCACAAAAGAAAGCTGACCTCAGAACTGCTTAGATAGATCTTTGGACAAATGGTGGTTTAGAAAACCAATCCCACATGCATGCTTTTCTTCCACTGGTCACTTACCAAATTAACATGTTCCTACAATTTTTTTTTTCAATTATTCAAGCCTAAAGCCTACTGACAGTGTTAGCCTGACTGAAAAAAAAAATCAATGTTTAACAAATAAGTGAGGCATTAATTGTGTGAAAGTCAGTCATGTCAAAAACACATCTGACTTGCCCAGAATAACTGTCTCATGTTCTATATAGTGGATTTGGTTTACATTTCCTATTAAGTCACTGAAATAGCTCAGGAATTTCTGAGGATTTTATGGCTAAAAAAGAGTAAGAACTCCTCCTAAAAAATAAGTTCAAGTTTAGAGTAATTGCCCCAGAGGAATGACAGAGGAAGCTAGAATACAGAAATTCTACTCATAGGTCCAGGAAAAATTTTATACCAGGCCCCAGGAAAACTGCCAGAAATTCACATTATGCTTGATTCCTTTTTCAGATGTGTGTTTTGCTAGAAAGGGGAAAAATAAAACAAAAATTTTCTTCTGATACATATGCATTTTTATTGTATCTTAAACCCACAATGAATTCCAAATGTTCACTTTACTTAATCTTGAGTATTCAGGACTGAAATCCATACAAAGAAGGGATGTGGTCTTCTGACCTCTCCACTCCATGATTACTTTTGAAAGTGAACTGATCACTTCTGAATTTTAAACGAGTGCAAAATTGAAACTCCCACATGTCTTTACCTGCCTCAAGGCATGGCCACATGGTAGCAAGCTCCACTGGTCTAGCAGACAGTGTAGCACCAATACTTTCTCTCATTTTTATTTTTTCCTACTTCTCCATAGAAATGATTCCCAAATTCAGACAAACTTGTATTACAAACCAACACCTTCATTTCTGGTCCAACAGTCACTTCCAAAATCTATTCCTAATGCTTCATACCAAATTAAAATCTTCACCTTTGGTTATAAAATGAAAAAAAAATAGTAAAATTATCATTGACTGAAGATTTAAGGTTAAAACGTTAAAATGATGCCAAGATTCTTATTATAACCTTTCCTTTCTTCTCATTGAAAGATCGTGTGTTTTTGAAAAATAAGTACAAACCATTTGCAAGAGTCTAGGAAGACTTTCCACTGACTACATTATATGAGAAGCCAAATCAAGAAATTCTATTTTATATATTTTGTCCTCTTAAAAAAGAAGAGAAAATTTGATAGGGAAAAGTTTAAACTTTTAAGTCCCACATACTTAGGAGACTACGGTGAGAGGATCAATCACTTGAGCCAAGGAGTTTGAGACCTGTACAGGCAACATAACATGACCTCGTCTCAAAAAAAAAAAAAAAAAGTTGTAAGCTTTCAAACTATTTATTCAATCAGAATGTACAAAGGAGAAATCACAAGAAAAATAGCAAAGACTGGGAGACAATTGGTTACAAAAAGTGATGGATAGATCCCTGGAATAGAGAACCACAGATAAGGTCATATTCGGAAACACGCTGACAGCCCACAGTGTTTAACTTTGTGGTTTTTCCATTTATCAGAGCTGATTAAAGAAGAACCACAGATAGCCTCTGATTCTTGACAACATAAATTCCTCTCGTGGCAGACAACTGGACAATTGGATCAGGGAAAGATTCTGTTTCACGGAGGCCACTCAGTAAATGATAAATGTGAACATCTGTTTGATTTCAGAATTTGGGCAAGGGAGCACATAGTTGACCTGTCCTACAATGTTAGATATACCAGTTTTCAAGAGGATAGTAAAAGAAGTGGAGGAAATGTAATCATTTGGCAGGAACCTCCCTCATTGACATAAAATAGGAAAATAATCACTACCACAACATGAGCTATGCAGAATTCTAGAATACAAGGAAACAGAACACATATACGTTTGAAGACTCCAAGGAAAAACATATGTGACAAAATTATTATTTACTATGGGAAAAGAGGAAAAATTTTAGAAAAGCCTATTTGTGTCCTTAATAGAATGTGAAGACCTATGCTATCAATCAAACAGTGACCCATAAGGTAAGAATGGAAGGAGACTAAAAATTTAACTGCAGAATTTAAAATGCCATTGGATGCAAGAAAGCATTATGATCATAATCAAATCAGTAATTTTTAGAATGAATTTTTTTTTTCAGAGAGACTTCCTCACCTTTCCATAAAAAGAGCTCACAGCTCAGATTTCTCAAATTCATATTTACTAGTTCTTACTTCACAGTGCTGCACTATAATTGAGTTTCTTCAAAGAGGAACCATGATTTACCTGTTTTTCCATTTTGGATTTAAAATGTCTTCCAGAAGACCCATGTGTTCAAGGTTTGGTCTCCAGTCCATGGAGCTATTGTGAGGTGGTAAGTAGTGAGTTTATCAGAGCAATTAACAATTAAGTGAGGAAATATTCCTTTTCTAAGGTCATTCTAGACATCAACATATTAGTCAGAATATCTATATTTATTTTCACTTTTATCAAAAGATCAATTTTCCTTTTATTTCTTTCTTCATTTCTTTTCCTTCTCCTTTTCTTTTCTTACCCATTTTCTTTCTTGTTTGCTTTTTTAAAAGTTTTTAGCATGCTTTGGACTTGACAAGGACATCTAAACTTTACAATTCTAGCAGTTGTAACAAATAAAACTTAAATTGCAGTGGCTTAAAAAATAGAATTTACCCCCTCAATAAACTACAAGTTGATGAAAAACAGGTCTTCTAGACTTTCAGGGACACATTTTATAATCCCATCCTCTTATAAGACTTCAACTGTTCTCCATTCAGCAGGCACATTAGGAACTTAAGAGAGTTCAAACAGGGAAAATTTTATGGACCAGTCCCACAGGCAGAGCACATGACTTTGGTCATATCTCAATAGTTAGCACTTACTTACAGGACCATACCTCACTATAAGGGAAATTGGGCAGTGGAATCCAGCTGTGGCAGTGTTAGAAAAATGGTTTGGAGAAGAGTGAGCCTCTGCCACAAACTCCAGGTTATTTCAGCAATAGATAATCAGGATCTATAGCACTATATATAGCCCTTTCCTTAATTTCTCACTTAATCATTGCAATAATATGATGGAATTGGGAATTAGTATGCCCAATTTAGTGGCCTAAGTTTACATATTTCTCAATGGCAAACCAAGAGTGGGCCCTACTTCTGACTGCAAAGCCCTATGCACAACACTGCTTTCTACAACTAAAATGATGTTGAAGTGAGATTATAGCCTGATTGAATTTTGATTACACTTAAGAGATCATGTAACTGACACATTTTCAATAGAGTCCATCCTTTGAGAGTTTTTTTTTCCAGTTGGAGTGATGGATTCAAGTTAATTTACCTGAATTCTTTCCTGATATAATGTATGGCACAGCTCTGAAGAGATCACTACAGTCTTCTGTGAGGAATGGAGTAATATTTAGTGCCATCACTTATGTCTCATTAGTGCTAACAGACTAACACAAATGTTCATTTTCAGAGTGAACTTTAGACTGCACATTTTAAAAAGAAATTTTATAGTTCCATTTTATTTTTACTACCCTTTGAACAGTAGACATCCATCAGATATATCCATTTACAAATGATAGTTAAATGACTGACCATGAATGGTGTTAAGAAATATACGTGAGTATGTATGTATTCACGTAACCCTCAATACCAGCTAATGAGTTAAGTGCTTTTATTACTAATATTTTATTGCTGTGAATATCAAGGCAAGAGAGGTTTATCAACTTGACTGAGGTAAGAGTTGAGCAGTGTAGAAAATTAAACAGGTCAGACTAATAAGTGAAAGTCTCTAGTAATTTCCCAGAAATCAAGTCCATAGGTTCTACTTATTGTTTTGTTTTTGCCATAGTTATTCCTTAATTGCTCAAATTACTTCTCTTGAGGTAGTCATGACATACCTTATTCCTGTTTCCTTGTAGCTTCATAGCTTCATCTTTATTATGTGAATGTGTTGAGTTTGTAAAACCTACTAGCGCCTATTGTTTCACTAAAAAATACCTTGCTACTTAAAGCATGAGGCAAAAGACAGCTCTTTCCCAAATTAAATCTGCAATTTATTTATGCAGAGGAATCCCTTAATTTTCTAAAACAAAAGGCATATATTCTATATAGACATCTCTATATTTCAGACATTTAAAAAAAAAACACCACTTTCCTTCGTCAAAAAAGATTTAATATCGTAGCTTCTGTCAGATTTCTAGCGTCTACTCCAAGACTGGAAACAATTTCTTAAAAAACAGTTTTGAAATTACTTGGGAGTCAAAGCAAGTCGACTTCAACATCTCAGAAGAAAAACCTCTATCAATTTGTTCATCCACTCACTCTACTACGAATCTATGCTGACATAGAAACTTGGGGGAAAATTAACACTGAAATTGAACCGTTCACTGGAAATGCTAGGTCCATACTATGCTCAGCCGTCATTTCAGCAAAGAGTAATCTGGGGAAGAGTCTTGTCATCCAGACATTGTATCCATCACAAAGTTCGGAGAGGGTAAGGAATTATTTTGTGTCTGCTAGTGAGAAATTGAATCCTCTAGAAATCTTGGGGCTGAATTCCTGAGGCACTTTTGTCTGCTGTATTTAGTGCAGTCCCCTAGCAGGTGCTCAGTAATGTTAGGAAAAAATCAAGTTGTTCACCCAACAAGGGTAATTGAAGAGTTCCGAGTTTTCTTACTGCCAACTACAAAGTCGATGACCTTTTCAAGTGGTCTTGCAAGGCACGAAGCACTGGTCTTTCTTAACTCAAGCACATTTAAAGGGCGAAGGGGCAGATACTTAACATTGAGAATGTATCTCCTCCAACTTCCTTCAGTGGACTGGGTGGAAACCCTACCATCTCCCGCACCTGCAATTTCCGCCCTTCTCCTTCCCCCTCTTCCAGACTCCAGTCCCCGCTCCTCAACCAGCCTGCGGCCCACTCCCAATGTCGGCCATGGCCCTGGGATTTACGACGCCCTCAAACCTTGCTTCCAGAAGACAAAAAGATAATGGTTTTCATGTTTTAAGTCAATACAGTATGAGGTCTTCAAGTGAAAGCTTTATTTGGGTGAAAAAATTAGCCCACGAAAAACCGATCTGTGCGTCCAAGCCTGTTTCATCGCCTCGCTTCCTTAAGGCTTCCAGGAGCACG